TGGAAAAGCCACCTGCCCGCCCTGCTTGAGGCGACTAAGGCATCGGTTCACGAATGGCAGGGAGGGAGGGCTGACTGTTGTATGTTGTTGTTGGCGTCGTCGTTGCGGTTGTTGAGTGCGAAGCGTGACTTCCAGATTGGGTGCGCCGGGCGCGCAGGGTACGCGCCGAGTACGCGCCGGGCACGCGCCGCGTTGGGTGCGCCAGGTACGTGCGCGCGTGAGCTGGATACTCGCCGGTCGTGCCAGGTACGCGCAGCTGCGCTGGTTGTGCGTGGTATGCGCCGGGTACGCACTGGGTACGCGCCGGGTGCGCCGAGCCGGGTACGCGTCGGGCAGGTATAGGGGATGTGCTTGTAGCATGCGCAATGTAAACTTCTGCCAGAAGTGTCTCAACATACCAGTGTTTGTTCATCATGTGAACAACCATGACGAACATTTGAATCGCTCAGAACGCTAATATGTTGAGCAGTGAAAACAGATGCAATAGCACAGGACAATCGGGAAAAACATCAATATTGGCTTAGATAGTTTAAGTGTTAAAGACAGGTTAAGTTTCGTTACTGCTTCATTAGATAAGCTAAGCTCTTTAGAAAGGTATGACACTACACATGATGTTTCAAGTAAACGGGTGCTACGTGAGAACCGCCAGAACAACTTCAGCTCTAGTAGCAAACATGATGTTATTAAAACTGAGAGTTATTAACCGAAAAGGAGTTCTTCTGTAGCTAGAGGTTAGTCCAAGTGAAAAAGAATGAAGATGAACATTTACGATCTAAAGGTGTCTTACAGTGAGTTGAGCGAGGTCGGTAAGCCTGATGAAGGCTATAACGCTAAGTTGGATTTGAAAGCATGTTAACATTGAAAATATGGGAGTTTCACGATGTGTATCCGGAATTGACAAGTGATGTTTTATTGCTGGCCGACATATTTGAAGCCTTTAGAAACGTGTGTGCGAGAGATTTTGGTTCGGACCCAGTGTGTTATTGCTGGTTTTGAAATATAGTTAGGGTACGCGAAAAAATGCATGAAATGGTTGAAAAAGCATGAAGAAGAGGAATGACACAAACAACCAGCAAGAAAAAAGACGCAAATAACCCACACATGCAGAATGGTTGTGATGAAACTAGTGAACGTAGTCATATGCGCCTTGTTTGACGTCAAAACCTTATACGGTTAAAGTTTGATACAAAAACTGTCATGCAAAGAATTGAAATGGGACACTGACATTGCGAAAGAAGATGTTATAGAATATAAATATAGGAAAACATGAGTATGTATTGGTTCGAATGTACATGATAAGGAACAGTAACCCATGTATCTTTACAAGCATATTTCAAACAAGGGTCAATTAAAAAAACAACAGTTGATAGTTTCGCATTTGGTCACTCAACACTCAGTTCTTTAAACATGTCTTAAAGAAATAGCGGCTTTATGTAGTAAGTGAAATGAGTGGTGCTGAAAGTCAAACTCACATGTTTTAGAACAAGCAGGTTTGCATGAAGCAATTTCATGTGAAAATGTCATGATACTGCATCTTGAGAGGAATGTTTTAAAACAACTTCTATACTCAAAATGCCATCCAAACCATGACCCAGTGGCACCATACAAAACACGTCAGAAAATCTTAGATGTGTGCAATGTGAAGAAAGGATCATAGTATTGTAAGAGAATAGGTATAGTTATTTTGCGTGGAATGCTAGTTTGTACGAATGAGCACCAGGTCATAATGTGACCATTAACGGAGTAAAGTGGTGACATAGACAACACTTGTACAGACAAGCAAAAATGTGAAACCCACAAAAATCCAACAAGCGCACCAAGTTTGTTCAATTGAAGTAAAACATCGTGTATGCCACCCTGGCAGAACACGTGTAGAAGGCTTAAGTTTGGTGAGGTGGAAGAAGCCTACGGTTCTAACCCGCCTTGTGAAACACATGCTCTTCGTACGCTGGCTGAGGACCGCCCCTGCGTCGCTAAATGTCACGAAGAAGATGGTTATGACACAGAAGAAACACAAGAGAAACAACAACCCTAGTAGATTGTAAATGCTGTAGCAAGCGGCAGTATATAACAATGAAAGAATATCAGAGACATACAAACACATTCATATTATAAAACCCAACGAACATTACACATAAAACGTGTAGATGTTTGTTAAAAGATTAGTGGGGGACTGCTTATTGGGGTGGCGAGTTCTCGCGGTCTTGGTTGTTGTGCTTCTGTGATGCGCTCTTTGCGAGATATGGGGCGGTTCGGGTTTGTGTTGTGGTGCTTGGGGCGCACTGGTTGCGAACTCGGCGCACGTGGTGCGTACAGCGTGCGCTCGGCGCACGCTAGGGTGCGCTCGGCGCGTGCTGGGTTGCACTCGGCGCGCGCTCGCTGCGCTCGTGCTCGGCACACTCCGTGCGTACTCGCTGCACTCGGCGCGTGCTCGGCGCACTCGGTCCGCACTCGGCACGTGCTCGGCGCGCACTCGGCGCGTGCTCGTGGTGTACTCGGCGCGTGCTCGGCGCACTTGGTGCACTCGGTGCGTGCTCAGTGTGCAGTCGCTTGATAAGACAACCTGAGACTACCCCCTCGCCCCCGCCCCCCCACTCCAGAACTAAGCCGGATCTCAAACTGACTGCTCCATCGCATGCTGCTGGCTGTGGCTGGTGGTGATCGAGGACTAAGGTTGCAGATCAAGCCCATAGCAATCACGATGTCATCCCAGATCCC